GTTTTAAAAATGTTCCCATTTATAAAAAGTGTTCACAAATTTTAAAAAGTGTTCATGTTTTCATTTTTTTTAGGATTTTAAAAAAATTCTAGTTTCAAAAATTGTTCTTAAATTTAGAAAAATGTTCTTGTTTTCGATTTTTATTCGGGGGTTTCATATTCTCCATTCCAAGTTTGATTTTGGAAATTCAAATTTTTTTCCTGTTTTAAAAAATGTTCATTATTTTCGATAAATGTTCTATTTATTAAAATTGTTCATCAATTCCAAAAATTGGTCATGTTTTTATAAAGTGATAATTGGTTTTATGCCCCTAGTTGTGTCCCACTCGACAGGATTGCCCATAATTTCCAAAAGTTAGCGGTTCTGTTCAACCCACTTTGGTCGTCTTGTGCTTTTGCCCTTTGACCGTTTGACCGTCACTTTGAAAACTTCATAACTAATTCATACTAAATCAGAAAAATGCAAATAAGATACCAAAATATTCAGAAAAACATAACATGTATGTCAAAATGTTCCAAAAGTGTCAGCAAGTCGGACTGGCTAGGCGTGCGGTCTTGTATTCCGCAGGCGCGGGTTCGATTCCCATTAGGGGCAGCATTTTTATTTATTGATTTTCCATAGCGCGCCACTGTAATATGGGCCGACCCAGGTCACTTATGCCATGTGCGAATCATCGGCAGTTTGCCGCAAAAGGCGGCAAATAGGAGGTCCCGTGTTGTCCAGCGCATACGACGTTGAATAGGAGCACCCCAAACTATAGAGCAGCAGAATTGGATCTCAAGGGATTTTAATATATGGCCCTTTGTCAGTAAGATAGATCACCCACCGCAGGTTGTGGCGAGCCTCATCACAGCTGATGCATCTTGGGACATGGAGAAGCTAGACCAAATCTTGCCAACTGATGCTCAGGAGATCGCATCTATTCGTCTTTACACGCGGCAAGCGGATGATTTTTGGTCATGGGTTCATGAGAAGATGTTAGGTTTTCACTGTTCATTCAGCATATAGAATGCTAGTGTCCACACAATCTCGCCGTGAAGCATGGCTGGAAGGTAGAGCGGAAACATCAAACTCAGAGAAGGAAAAGAGGGCTTGGACAGATATGCGGAAGACTCAAGTTCCATCAAAAGTTAAAAAATTTCTATGGATTCTACAGCTGATCTTTTAAACCACAGGAACATACCGACAGTGTCTACGGGTGGTCTACGCCGACCGGGCGACTCTTGGCATCACTCACTTTTGCACTATAACATGGCGAGGTGCGTTTGGGCTCTTGAAGAGCCTAATCTAGTAGAGGTGGTTGAGAGTGCCGGAGGATAGAAGGTGGATTTTTTTCACTAATCGATAGTTTACAGCATGATGATTTTGTGAAGGTTGTGGTAACACTTTGGGCCATCCGACATTCTCGTAGGAAGGCATTGCACGAACAAAACTTTCAGACTCCCCATGCGACTCATCATTTTATCTGTTGCAATTGCACGCCTTCAATGCTACTGCAACTGGGGGTGGTTTAGTTCGAATTACGGAATTGGTGTAGTTGAGGAAATTGCATGTCCAACGTTATACTACAACAGTTTTGTTTTCACCGTGAATGCAATGTTTTTGAGAAGAGGAAGGCGAAAGTGGTTGGAGGAACCTTTTTGATGAATTATATTGAAATATATGCTTAACATTTTTAATACAAGTAAAATATGTTCTAAATACAGGATGGCGTGTCACGTGGGCTAGATCAAACAAACTGAAATCTCTATACGCCGGTCACTGCGGCAAAATGCCGCTACTTCGCAAAGCCGAACAGCAAGCAAACTGCAGATGGGCCGGCCCAAGCAGTTAGGAATTTTTTTTTGTTTCGTTTTCTTCATAGTTTTTTTAATGTTTTCCCCTATTTATTTCTGTCTTCATTGGTTTTCCTTTCCTTTTTCTTTTATATTTTTAAAATTTGATCTCGTTTTTATTTTTATTTTATTTTCCTTTTTTGTAAATTCACAATTTCAAAAAAGGTTAAAAAATTCATAAATTGTTCGTTTGTTCAACATAACTTGTGTTTATCAAAAATATTTGGAAATTGCAAACTGTGTTCATGATTTTCAGAAATTGTTCACAAGTTACTTAAATTTCTTATTCTTTAAAAACAAGTTCAAATAATGTTCGCATTTTGAACAGTTGTTTGCAACTTTTTGAAAAATGTTCAACTTTTCTAAAAACGAGTTTGCATTTTAAAAAATGTTCACATTTTCAGAAAATGTTCATAAGTTTGTAAAAAATGTTCGTATATTCCAAAAAAATACTCTCAATTTCAAAGAATGTTCTCAACAAATGTATTCTCAATTAAAAATAAAAAATTTGAAGAAATTCTCAGTGAAGTTCAGAAATTGTTTGATCTGCCGCTTGAGATAGGTATTCAGAGTTTCACGGTGATTAGAAGACACGAGCGCCCATCAGGTCCAGTGGCTAGCTACAGGCATTTAACAGTAAGATGTTTTTGTTTAAATCCGTGCAGCCGCTCTTCTTTTTTGGAGTTTTCCAACGTTCACTGTCGACCAGGAATTCGTGTGGCCGGTCCAGCCAGAGCCTCCTTGTGCGGCGTGTAGCCCACAATGCAGGGCAGCTCCCAAAATAAGCAAAAAAAAAAATCAAATCAAATAAACAAACAAGAATGTGGTGTTGTCGCATACGATGTATAGCTGATGTCAAAACTTATATGATACACACTTATGTCTCATCTAGATGAGCCCTAGATAGATCAAAAAGAAATCACACGGAATCCAATTCTGGTTCCACGCGTGTGTCCTCACCCGAACCCTATTCTCCTTATGAGGCCTTGTTTCATCGCATCCCTGCCCTTAACAAGGGCTCACCACACCTGGGAAGGGTTCACACCCACCAAAGCGTCTAGCAAAGTAGTTGCCAGAAAATACACTGTGAGGTAAAGAGCATCTCTAGCAGACCCCTTAAAATCGCAAACTGCTAAACTGGGATATGGGTCGGAAAAAGTGCATTTTAAGGGTTCATTTTAGCTACGACCAAACAGATACTGTAAAACAAACCGTAAAACTGGAATAAAGAGCTCCTTCCTCCAGTCCGGCCGCTGCCGCCCCTTCCTCCACCCGGCCACGCCGGCCGCGCCCAACCCCGTCGGCCGCGCCTCGTTGCCGCAGGCCATGCCCTGTTGCCCGTCGGTCGCTTCCCGTCGCCCGTCGGCCGTGCCCCGCCCCCGTCGGCCGCGCCCCATCACCGCGCCGGCTGCGCCGGCCACGCCCCATCGCCTCCGTCGTCCGCGCCTTGCTCTATTGCCAGCCGAGTCGTGCCCCTTTGCCTGCCGCGTCGGTAGGATTTCGGCGGCCAAGCTGAGGTCATGGGAGGCCACAGCGATGTCGAGCTCGTCCAATTCGAACCGGTGGCGATCGATTGCGGCGTCTAGTGGCCTTTTCCGGTGTGCGGTGTTGAATTCCAGCGAGTTTAGGGCGAATTCCGGCAAACTCCGCGGCGGCGTGTTTGCTCCGACGAGGTTTGACCGGTATATGGGCCCCATAGATTCGGCCTTCCAACCTCCAAAGATAAGGGTTCCGGGTGTGCATTTGCGGTGGCCCTTAAAAATTTTACAGGTTGGACCACTTTTACGATTTCTGTTTTGAACACTTTTTTCGCTCAAAACTGTAAAACGCAAAAATTTTACGGGTTTGACCACTTATGCGGGGTCTGCTAGAGATGCTCTAAGTAGTTTCGCTGGACTATGAGGTTACATTAAGATCCACGTAGATGGAGCAGTCTTGCGCAATCGGCGAGGCTCTGCGGCGGCTGTATGCCGAGACCAGGCGGGCAACTACATGGGAAGCTCTGCACTTGTTTTACCAGGGATAATCGACCCGCCCACGTTGGAAGCAATTGCTTGTCGAGAAGGCCTTGCTTTGGCGGAGGATCTCCTCTTGGGGAACCTAATCACCGCGTCTGATTGCAAGCTGGTTGTTGATGACATCAAGCTAGGTAATCAGGGCTCCTATGGTTCAGTGATAACAGAAATCAAACTTCGCTCTTTAGATTTTACTTGTAGTTTCGTTTTTGAAAGCCATTCTTCAAACGGCGAAGCTCATAGTTTAGCTAAGCATGCACACTCTCTCGGTGCGGGGCGCCACACTTGGCTGGTTAACCCTTATAATCCGATTTGTATCCCACTTCATGTGGATTATGATCAATAAAGCTTAGCTTTGCCCTAAAAAAAGTAGTTTCACTACATAAACTTCGTTGCACAATACACCGTGAGGCCCAACTAAGCTTGATAATGTCTGACCCATAAAGCCCACGAGGTCGGTCATGGCTGAATAGCCCACAAATATACGAAATCACTAATTAAGGAGTACTCTTTGCAAAGATCACTTCCACCTCCTCAAGTTGCGATAGGTGGCGCACTGCATGTGCCTCATTTGTCGTAACCTGGGAGTTTTTCTTTTTTTCGTACATCCGTTTATTCAAAACGTTTTATCTCTTAAACCATGCGTCCAAATCTTGAACTGTTTTCATCATTGGATTCCTCGCGTCGAATTTTCAAAACTAGATCCCATGTTGATATGTTTTGACGAATCATTTTTTTCACAAAAAATGGACGAAAAAACCGAACCGGAAGCACATTTTTTCCTTTTTGAAAGAGGCACAGTCCAAGTAATTATAGGATAAACAGCCCAGCCCAAGTAGAATCTGCGACACCCTAAAAAAAGAAGCAGCAAAATGGGTTGGATCGATCAATCACGCGGCACGCATGGCATCATCTTCTTTTCCCCAGGGTCCGGCTACCGTACTTTACTTGCATCCTTTGTAATCCATCGTCTTCAACTAGACCTGCACTAGTCGTCCAAGCAAGGAATCAATGCCAGCCAGGCCCATACTATAAATTGAGAGATATGAACTATATGGCAGCACAAGAAGCAATTGGTCTCCCATCCGTAGGTCTTTCTTGACCAATCTCTCTTCATCCAGCACAAGGGAGAGAGAGAGAGGGGTCGATCATGGCGGAGGCGGTGATGGGGCCGCTGCTGGGGGCACTGCAGGAGCTGGTGATGAAGGAGGCGCAGGCGATGAAGGCGGTGGACGACGACGTGCGGAACCTCCGGGACAAGCTCATGTGGCTGCAGGCCTTCCTCCGCGACGCCGAGCCACGGCGCCGCGCCAGGAACGATGAGCTCACCAGGGTCTGCCTCCACCAGGTCCGCGGCGCCGTCTTCGACGCCGAGGACGCCGTCGACCGCTACTTCCTCCAGATCGACCTCTCCAAGTAGGTTTCTGATGTCCCTGGTTTTGCTAATTCTTAGCCGCAAGAGATTTTTTCTTTCGTATTTCAATCAAACTAGCACGCTAGCGTCGCTAATAGCACCCTATAGCTTTTTAAGAAATGCCTCGCTAAATAAACCAGTGTACAATGTCTCACTAATACCACGCTATAACGCGTCATAGCACGTAATATCATATTTTAAGTGCCAAGCTATTTTGTTGTAGCACGCTATTTGTTTCATTTTCAATTGATTATACAAGTTTACTATTTTAAAATGTAAAATTACTCTATGTTAACAAAGACATTTTTTATGTCTCTTTCATCATTACATTTTAAAATACTAAAGTTACAAAAACAAATATGTGCAATTTTAGTAGTTTAAAATGTGCAGACAGTGAAGTTGTGCATTCTAAAGTACTAAAATTTATACGAAAAATAAATCAACTTAGACATAGAAAAAAATCTCAGTTCGATATATCCTATCTTATAACTGTTTTGCTGATGCTTAGCCGACCGATTTTCCTTAGGGCTTAGTCGATGTGCAACTTTAATAACTCAAAATGTGTAACTAGCATCACATTTTGAAGTACTAACATTAGAACAAATGTAACATTAGCATTTTAAAATATAAATTTAATAAAATTACAAAATTTTAAAATATTAAAATTACATAAAAAGAAAATCCGACTGAGGCCTAAAAAAATCTCAGTCGACTTAGATATGGACAAAACTATTATATAACTCCAGGAACCAAAGTGACTCCGAAATCGCCACTTGGGCATGAGTTCTGTTTGATTGAACAACACTTATATATGATAGGGCTAGTAGAGTTAAATTATCTATACCCCTATATAGTGTGTGAATAATTTTGAAAGATGGTCATTGGATGAAGCCAATCCGACGGTACAGAGATGGCAAATCCGAACACTACTGGCCGTTGGATATCATCTACATTGCACCAGTTTCTGCCACATGTACAATCTAGAATACTCCATGGTTGAACTTAAGCATAATGCACAAATCTCAAAACACAAGCATTTCTCCTTTGTTCTAGAATCTTCCCTATCATAATTGCCCATTTTTTTCTAAATGAATTGCCATTATTTGTTTTTAGTTTATGCTTTACAACACACAATTCCATGAGTTTTAAAATATATTAACTTTTTTATAAAACTAATTCATTTTGAATGAGATGAACTATAAGAATTAAACAAACATCTACATCATGCATATATGCCTCAAAACTTACATGCTATAGTGTGGTGTTTATTTATAATTTGGTTAACAAATCTCATGCGTGCAATGCACATGTACCTTATTAGTATATATTATTTGTGAACTCTGAAGGTACCCAGGCTGGAGCCAAGCCATCCTCCAATTCTTCGCCGGATTGACCACGCAGGTGCGCGGGCGGAGCGACCTGTCGAGGAGGGTCAGATCCATCAACAGGAGGCTCGAGATAATAATCGAGAACAAGGAAAAGTACAAGATCGATGACCAGGATTCCTCGTCCGTCACCACCTGGAGGCCGTCCACTGAGATCAGTGCTGCTGTTGAAAATCTGTGAGCTGTCGAATATATGCCTTTTTTTCATTCTAAAACTAGCTTAGTTGGTCCACGCTTTTGCGCAACTAGATTTTATCATTCAGTTTATATTAATATGATCTTTTATTATTTTACTTCGTCACCAACTACTATTTAATTCAGTTCGCCACAACAATAGTTTTGATGTACTATACTCCCTCAATAAAGAAATATAAGAGCATTTAGATCACTAAAATAGTGTTCTAAACGCTATTATATTTGTTTACAGAGGAAGTCGAAAAATATATACAAAAATTGATGTCTAACAGCTAAAGATAAAGAGTAATCTCGTGCTACTCCATACAAAACAAACAATTTATGTATGAATTTTCTCTTTAGTCGCACATATACATCTTTTTACCATTGCTACATTTTCTTTAGAATTTATATTGTTATTTTTAATTTTTAATGACTCCATGTAAATCAAATCTTACTCTTAACTATCATACAAAATTTATTTCAAATTCGTATAGAAGTTGTAAGAAAATAAAATTTATTTATCTTAAAAATTAGACTTAATTAAACATGTAGTATCATCCTGTCATGCTTGTCTAACTAATTAATCGTAGTTGTATTAATTGTTATGTAATATGAGTTGCAATATATTCCAATTTTATTATTCTGAATTTAATAATTAAGTTAGATTTAAACTCGTTACTATATCTAACTAATAAAAATAATGTTTCATATATTTTATTCCAAATTTAATACATAAAACAGAGTTGTATTCATTGTCATGTGATAGGAGTTGTAATACATTCCTATTTTATTATTACTAATTTAATGAATAAAATAGAGTTGTACTCCCTCCATTACAAATTATTTGAAGTGTTGGACCTCTTTTCCTCCATCCAGGTTTGTATGAATGTTGATGAATCTAGACATATATCCAAAGTAGGTACATAGAATCATGCATGAATCTATCCAAAACCTAAAACTTCAAATAATTTGGAACTGAGTGAGTATTCTATATCCACGTAATAGAAGTTTTGTTTACTACTATTTTTATTAATCCGAATTTAATAAATTAAACAGAGTTGTACTAATTATCCAACTAACAGAAGTATTTTCTTATATTTTTATTCTGAATTTAATATATAAAGCAGAGTTGCATTCATTGTCATGTCATAGAAGTTGTAACGTATTTTTATTTTACTATTCCAAACTTAATGAATGAAATAGAGTTTTATACTCGGTATCTACCTAATACAAGTTGTAGTTACTATTATAAATTTTTTATATGGTAGTCTTATAGGTCTTGACTGTTCTTTTCTGTCGTTTAATTTGGACTACAGTTTTTCTTCCGTTTTAAATATAATAAGAGCAGAAGTAATTTTTAGTATAATATTCTTCCTCCGTTCCTAATTGTAAGATGTTTTAGATATTTCAATGTGGACTACACACGGAGTTACGCACTGAAATGAGGCAACATACACAGTAAAACTCGTCTAGAAAATGTGCAGTCAGTAAAAAGTTAAAACATCATATATTTAGGAACCCAGGGTGGTAATGGAAAGGCTTATCTTGCCCTCTCTTGTTTTTTCTTTTCTTTCAAAAATGTGTATATAGAAACCCTAATACTTACATGCATGCATGCAGGGGTCGTTTCATGCTACCATTGGTGGGACGAGACGACATGCAAGAGCAAATAAAAAAGGCGCTCAACGAGGAATCCAAGCACCCCGTGGTGATCACGGTGGCAGGGGAGAGCGGCGTGGGCAAGACGAAGCTGATGCAGGCGATCTACGAGGGTCCCCTAACCAAGGAGCATTTCAGGGTGCGCGTGTGGGTGAGCTTCGCGCCGGGCCTCAGCGCCTCCCAGATCCTCAAGCTGGTCCTCCTGCGCATGGCGCTGAAGCCGAGCAAGAGAAGCTACGACGACGGCGACGACTGTCCCGGCATAAGGCTACGAGCGGCGCTGCGAGCCAAGATCTACCTTCTGGTCCTCGACGGCGAGGTCAGCAGCACGGAGTGGAACGGCATCCTGTCCTTCCTGGAGACGAGCAGCTCCAAGAGCAGAGTGGTGAGGATCACGCGGATGGACCCGGCGGCACATTCCTCCAGCTTCGAGCACAGGAATATCGTCCTTACGCACTTGGACAAGGGCAGGTCCATGCAGCTGTTCCACAGGGCGCTCCGCCTGGGCCTGGGCTGGGGGCATGGCGAGAAGCATAACAGCAGGATCTTGGCCGACGACCCGAAGATGAAGAAGCACCTGGATTCCATCCACAGCGTCACCGGCGGTCTCCCGCTGTCGGTCGTGCTGCTGGCGGGCCTCCTGCAGACCAAGGAGTTCCCCGGGGAATGGATTCGCGTGTTCGAGCACCTCACGGACAAGTCCGGCAAGTCCAAACGGGGCGACATCATACTCTCCATGTGCTTCGACGACCTCCCGCACGACCTGAAATCGTGCTTCCTCTACCTGGCATGCTTCCCGGTGGAGGGTTTCCTGAGCCCTAGGGGGGGCATGACGATGGAGAGGGTGGGCATCCATTTCTTGAACGAACTGGCCCAGAGGCGCCTCATCAACATCCCGCCGGTGGAGTACGCCGATCCTGGGTTCGAGAGCATCACCGTGCAGTCAAGGGTCCACGACTTCCTTCTGCATGAGGCGCAGGAGGCCAGCTTCGTGGAGGTCCACTGCGGCGACGATGTCCCGATGCTGACCACCACTCGCCGCCTCGCGCTGCAGAACCACAGCGATAAGTATGCTGCCCTCACCACCCCTCTGCCCAAGCTGCGGTCCATCTTCTCCAGCTTTGAAAAAGAAGACACGGCGACGACGATGGTGGCGGATGCTGCTGCAGGCGACCGGGACAAGAAGGGTATAAAGACCAGTACTGCTCGGGTCTTCCCTCATCTTCTTCGGAGCCCCGACAGCGCCTACACGTACCCCAAGGAGATTATACAGAGGCTCCTGCGCAATTCCAAGTTCCTCCGTGTCATCAGTCTAGATGGCCTCGACATTGGCATCGAGTTACCCCATGAAATCGGGAGCGTGGTGCACCTGCAGCATCTCGCCATCACCTCCTGCTCCCTCAAGGTAATTGAGCTTTTTATAAAAAGAAAAAGAATAGTTATTCTTATTTTTGAACATTCGAAATCTATATTCTCGACTGAAAAACTCTTGTCCAGGTAATACCACCGTCAATTGGGAAGCTGACCCGACTGCAGACGCTGGATGTCCGAGGCACCGGCGTCAACGCGCTCCCCACGGGGTTCTGGAAGATACAAACGTTGCGGCACGTGTTCGGGTCCATCGTCTTGCCCAGGCGAGTTGGCCACCTGGAGCAGCTGCGGAATCTGACGACCGTAAACCAGGGCAACAACGGTGTCTGGGACAAGAAAACCTTCCACAGGATGGTACGCCTCAACACGCTGCACATCGACGGGATCTCCGCCGACAGCGTGGAGGCCATCTACGAGCTCAAGTACCTCGTGATCCTCAACCTCGCTTCCGGCGAGCTGGCGACGATCCCCTTTGCTCTGTTCACCAGATCCAACCTCCCACGCCTCCAGATGATTTTTTTGGAAAAGTGAATATCATTTAAATTTCGACCATTTTTTGAAAAACGTCAACAAGTTATTTAAATTTCAAACTTTTTTGATATCATGACCAATTTTTTAAAACCTGTTTTCTTTTGAAAATTCCAGACATTTTTGAAAACCCGAATATTTTTTAAATTCTGAACAATTTTCTAAATTCCAAATATATTTTAAATTGCGAGTATGTTTTGAAATTAGGAGTTTTTTAAAACCTGAACATTTTTTGAAAAGTAAATATTTTTTAACTTCATTACATTTTGTTTCAGAAAATGTTCATGTTTCAGGAAAAAAAATTGACTTTATGAAAAGATCAGGCATTCGGGAAATATTTCTGGATTTTAAAAAATGTTCATGGAATTGAAAATTATTCCTGTATTTTAAAATATTTTCACAAATTTTCAAAAAAACTAGTGTTAAATATCTTCATGGTTTTGAAAAAAATGTGCACAAATTTTAAAAATGATACAATATTTCAGTAAAAAAAAATTACAAATTTTAGAAATGTTTCTGGATTTCAAAAAATGTTTATGAATCTGAAAATTATTCCTTTATTTCAAAATTTGTTCACAAATTTTCAAAAATATATAGTGAAATATCATGATGGTTTTGAATATATTTTTCACAATTTTTAAAAATATTTTTGTATTTCAGTAAAATGTTCATGGATTTAAAAAATGTGTCGGACGTAATATTTCTTTGGAATATTCAAAAAAGTTCTTCAATCTGAATAATATTTCGTGGATTCAAAACAACAGTGAAATTAAATATTTGTCCTTATTCTGAAAAATATTCCAAATTTCAAAAATGTTCCAAAGAGTTCGGGAAATATTGGTTTTTTGGAAATAAGTCATGGATTTCAGAGAATGATCGTGAAGTTCAAAAAGAAGTCATGAATTTGAAAAATGTTTGCAAATTTCGTAAAATATTTCAAAATTATAAAAACTATGAATTTGGATCACATTAAAATATGTTTTGAATTTAGGAAAAATCATGAAATTGAGAACTGTCATGCATGTATGGTGATATTAAGCATGCTACAGGTAATTAATACGTACTCCCTCCGTCCGGGTTTATTGGGCCTCTTAGCCAAAGTAGCGGAACCAAGACGTCATTGATTTATTTCGTAGTAACTGCAGCTGTTCCTCGAAACACAGCGGGCGGCTCCGTTTCTCACGCCCGCTCTCTCTCTCCCACGCCTGGCATGCCCAATTTAATCAGCGTGGCATTAAAGGTCTTGCCTTTTAGGTGATGTTGAGCTGATTTTTAGACGAGGGGCCTTATAAATTGGAATCATACTCAGTGGCTCACAGGCCCAATATACCCGGACGGAGGAAGTACAAACTATCAAAGTGCACCTGAACTGTGTTATGTATCAACTATTGTTTACGACTACAAATTAAAGCAGTGTGTCTTAATGTTACAAAATTTGTGTTGATCATTTTTAGTGTGTTAAGTAATTTTTTCAAATGTTCAGTCATCTCCTTCCCTACAATATTCATAGTCAAACAATACCACGCAGGTGAACTAGTTAATTCATAACAAATGACTACTCTTATCTTATTACCAAAAGGAAGGTATAAGCCTCCCAGCCTTTGCATCCGCATGAACACAAGAGTACATGGTCACAGTTTGATTAAAGTTGACGCAAGACAAGAGGCCAAAGTAATCAAGAAACGAGTACAACAAATACACCACAATAAGAAACCATAACAATAAATGATATAAACACCTAACGCCTTCAAGAAGGTAGAACATGCCGATGATGACGTCGCCGATCCAAGATGTGATTAGCTAGAACACGGATTTTCATGATGGATGCCCTGTCCAACTACTTGGCCTAGTACAATGGTACAGAAACGATGCCTTTCTTGATAAGCACCATGCCAAGGTGGAAAGTAGAGTGGTTTGGGTGATTTTCTCATCTTCATATACGATGTGTTGAGTGGGAAGTAGAGTGGTGATAATCATGGGTAACAAGAATTAATGAGGGTGATTTTCTCGTCGTCATAGGACGTGTTGAGTGGAAAGCAGAGTTATGATAACTAGAGAATTCCCCACGCGTTGCTGCGGGAGACATTGCCAAAGATTAGTGTTTTATTCAAAAATTGACTCACTTAAAAGGGTAAGCAAAAAAAATGAACAAAGGGTTGTTATTTGACAAAAATAACAGGCTACCACCTCCGATTCTTTTCAAGGGAAGAAAACTTCCAAGGTACAACTAATACATCACCACAAAGCTATAGCCCACCAACTCTGCCTCGTAGAGACACTCATGCACCGATTGCTTCGTCATGTGCCTCACCGCCACCGGGAAGGGTTTCTTCTTGGGTACTATTTCTTTTAGGGGTCTTCTTGGGTACTGGTGTTGCTTGTTACCATGGTGGATGCACTTGTTGCATGTCGAGTTGTGGCGACCAACATGGGACGAGTTGGAGAAAATCAACCCTGATGCACAACTTTAACAATGGTGCAAACATATCTAGTTCAATCCCCCTGACGATAAGGTATTTAACAGTTCTTAGTATATAATATTCAAAAAAACAAACGACAGACCATATGATAACAAATAAGGGGCGATCAAGTTCTTACAGAGTCAATACACTCACACAATGCCACGTGTAAAAGAAAGCTGATAGTAGCAAAATATTTCATCCTACCTTGAATAACATGTAAAATAACCAGATGTGACATCAAATTATCAAGTGAAAATAATAAAATGAAACCTGGGATTACATCTTCTATTTTCTTCTCGATGGTTATTGAAATTCAGAAGTGTGAGGTTGGACTTCTTGTGATGTTGCTTTTCTTTTTGGGAAGATATGTATCCATTTATGATCAATGATGTACCTGTATTTGGCCAAGACTAATCAAATAAATCGGATTCTCCACTTTGCAAAAAGTTTGTGAAGGGAATTAGAAAAACAATGTAAGAATATAAACACCTCGGAAAATACATTTTGAACTATAAGCACTAATATAATTTGGGTGTTTGCTTTGTGATGCCTTTGTGGGTGGAGGTCGGCGCTGCACCGATGCTTGACCGTGGGAGGATTGAGGGCAGGATGCAACGTCGGTGCGTTGGCCATCTGCTGCCTTACTCGTCGCGTAAGTTATGAAGAGCAGAAGCATTGACGCAAAACACATGCCACTTTGTGAGATAGATAATCAATGGATTTTGTGATTACCAACCGTGCTACTCTTGTATACCAATTAGCCTGAGAGGCATCCAGTTTCGCCACTGAGACCTTCTCCAATTAGCCTAGCAGACCTTCATAACAGCCAAGTCGCGGGGAAATGGGGAACGCAATCGACCATTTGCAATGAACAAGTTGGTGCTGGTAGTAGTACTGATCGAGAGCTGGTGAGTGAGTGAGTGATTGAGTGACTTACACGCCGTGGTTGGGCGACATGCCCATGAAGAAGACCTTGGTCCGGCCGGGGTCGACGTGCCGGTCCACCCACTTTGCCCACATCTTGAGCACCTCCTTGTACGCCACTGGCTAGTCCACCAGCGTGTACTTGTCTGGCAGCGCCCTCGGATTCTTCCTGCAATCACCATTTCATCTTCATCACTCACTGATTCATCACTGGAGCAGCAGCAATGGAGGATGGACGGAGGAGGGAGAAACTCACAGGACTTTCATCTCGAAGTTGTTGAGCCACCAGATGTAGGTGTTGAAGACGAGGAAGTGGGCGGCGCGGTACTAATTAGGCGATTTCTCCAATTAGCCTAGCAGACCTTCACATGACAGCGAGGTAGCATCAGCCATGTCGCACTAGAATTTCTCCCGGCCGCAAAGAAATACACGAGCGCATATATGCTTATATACCTCTCCGTCGTCGAGATGATCTAACAGTGCCTTCCAAATTGTTTTTGGCAACATTTCTGTAAGATAATGAATAAGAAAGATGTTGTCTCAATGCAAGTCACTGGGAATAAAACTAATGTGGTACGCGAAATGAGCTGCACTACTAACATTTCAGCCAAGTTCTCCACAAGAACAAGAGAGAGAATCTTCGGTGGCACCGTGCCAGTCAGCATATTCCCGTTCAGCCGCCTGCGAGGAAGAAACAAAATTTGTCATTCTGTACTTAGAAGATCGCACCTTGTCTGTATTAGTGGTTTAACATACAATATACAATGATGCATTGCATGTTAAATATCATTTCTTCATCTTTGTGTAATACTTGTAATGTGACCAGAACTCATACAGATAACGCAGCGTCCGGACGGCCCCGAGTGAGGCCGGTATGGCTCCAGTGAGAAGGTTGTCATAGAGATGAAGAGTGATCAGGCTTGTGAGGTTGCCCAAGGTCGCAGGTATCGTTCCACTGATGTTGTTTCCATACAGCTCACTGCATACATCCAAATTCTCGTAGTCACCGCGGTAAATTATGCAGTCATTATAGGGCATGCATGTATCTTCTGCACCATTAATCCTAGAGGGGCAGATAGCCTTCTTTGCTTCGTATGTACTATCAGGCAATTCGTTGTCCTTTGGAAACATCTTCTTCAACATTATCAACATCTTTTAAAATCCCTTGTCTCTGCCTTCCATTGCAACAATTCTAGTGTGGTACCCAACTTTTTCTTGTTATCTTCGCAATTTGGGTAAGATCGTTAGCGGGCTCATCTGATGCCTCTTCTTCAACTTATTCCTCCATTGTAGTACCATCATATTCAGGGAACCCATGGCCAGGATAACTGGCATCATCCTCTTCTTCTGCATTCTCTTCCCCTAGAACCCCTCTTTCTCCATGCTTGGTCCAACAGTTATAGCCGGACATGAAACCGGACGTAAACATGTGGATGTGAATGGTTCTTGAGTTAGAGTAATTGTGATCATTCTTACAGACACCACATGGACAACACATTAAACCATCCGGCCGCTTGTTTGCTTCAGCCGGAAGCAGAAAAGTACGCATGCCATCAATGAACCGGGGAGAGCGCCCGTCATCGTACATCCATTGCCGGCTCATCTTCATTACACAAC